CACCGGGCTAGTATTCCAAAGGTCGTAGGTTCGAATACCACCGTGGCCGGGCATATTTTTCAAGCTCGCCCGGTGTGGATATACACTCAGAGTAACACCACAAATATCATATTCACCTGAGTACACTACACCAACACAGAAAAAAATACATGTTCTGCTAAAGCGAATTTTAGGTAACAGCCTCTTGGTGTGAGTAGTAATATATAGGTACCAATCGACCAGGATTTTTGAGGGTGCGTAAGGGTGCTGAAGGTGCGCCAGTTAATATTCATGCAAATGAGGGTGCGCAGTGACGTCACTCATTAGTAAACAATACGTCATAATTATTTGCTATAACGTCATGTGGGCATGCTTAGGCAAGTAGTGACTTCACGTTGGCAGGTTGGGATAAAACTTGCTGACTAGTTATTTTTAGCGTCCCTCCACGTGTGTAATACAATGGAAGAATTAAGATTGGCCTACCATAATTTGTTGTTTGACTTAACGAGCGTCTGTATTTGGCAATGCTTAGTACTACATCAGGCATGGCGTGTGTACACGGTAAAACCACGTCTTAGTCCAGTGGCGTAGCCAGAACGATAATTGGGGTCCCATATTCATACATTCTTGTTCTGCTTAATTAATTTCTTTTGAAAACAATTGTTTTTATGCTATGTGGGCACGAATATATGAATATGCCCCCCCCCCCCCATTATCGCTCTGGCTACGCCACTGCGTCTTACAATTGAATGGAAATATGTATGCGAATGCAGTCGCACCAGAAGTGGGAAGATATTGATTTTGTTACACCCTTTTTTATTGCATAAAAATAATTATTTTAGTATTTATCATTATTATTGATTTAAAAAATTCTGTTATGCGAAAAAAGACTTTTACGAATTAATATTTTTACAATCTTGACATAACAGAATTTTTTTAAATCACGAAAATGGATTGAACATAAAATACTAAAAGAAATCAAGCTATAAAAAAACGAAGGTCACCGACCTTATTTTCTAATTAATTACTTTAAACCAAAAATATTTGCCAAATAGAAACGTTATCGTTGCCATATCAACGGCTGTTAGGAGTACAAATTAAAAAACACCGAACTCCTTAGATATTGTTTTATTTAAATCAAATAGTACTCTTTGTTTTTTAACACATAATTACTGACCAGAAATTCATGTGCAAATCAGAAAATCTTCAATTTTTTAAAACGTGCAGGTAGTTACTGCACCTGGCTCTTTCATCTAACTTTGCGAATGTTAATTTTCTTGGCGAAGGCGATAAATTGGGAAGGGCATCCACGACACATCTAACTTCTTACTTGCTGTTTGTTTCTATCTTTTAAAAATATAACTATTTTATAGAGCACTGCTATTGGATAAGTGCTGCATCTGAAACGTTAGGTCGCGGGTAGGCACACAGAGAGACGAAAAGTTGGCCTGCAAGTTAGATTCGGTATTTTCCATAACGCCCCTTTTCATAACACGCCTCATTCGCGCGTCAATTGTCAGAAAAAAACAATGACAGCAACCAAATAGCAATAAACAAACTCGCATTAAAATGTTACGGGTTTTTTTCCTGCTAATTCGGAATAGAAGCAATGTGTAAATGGCTGCGTTTTAACTCCAAAAAGCAGGCAACGCAGCCAGTAAGTGCCAAATGCTCATTTTTAACTAAAATCGGAACATGCAAATTAGGACAAATTTCAACAAAAAACCTGTCTCAAACTTCAATCGTGAGGGAAGTCGTGCGACCACATTAGCGTTAGTGTGTGCTTCTGTCCCCATTATCGAGGCTGTTGTTGTAAATATATTGTCTCACTTATCAGATTGGGTGCAACTCTTGTTGGCGGCGGAAAGACGAAATTTATTTCAGTTATTTCATTTGGTAAAGAACTCGACAAAAGTAGAGAGCGTTCAGAGTCCAGGTCGTTTCGTTCCAAACGGCAATTATATATGGCGTCGACGTCTTCTATTTCGCTCTCTCAGCGAAGCCCTACAAATCGCAAAGTATTTCGAATACTAACGCTAATATACAACTGCCTCCAATTCGTTACCGCGAAAAGCGCTGTTTTATTCAGTGCAAGAACAGAATCACCATCAGCCAAAAGATAATTTAATTTCTTGAGGACCATATAACGTATCAAGTCTGTTTGGAATTAATGCAACTCAAGTATAAAGGTTTCTGTTGTTTACCACAGTGGTAATGTTGTTTTTCCAACACTTCACGACAAGCATCCCCTTTGGCATGACGGCAAAAACATCTCTTCCTTCAAGTAAACAATAAACAGTCTGTTCTTGCGCCATTTTTAATAGAAAAATGTGATCAGATCAAATTTTAAGCTTATCAAGAGCCTTTGCCTGAATCACTGAATATCTAATTATAGAATTCAACAACAAACAGCCAATTAGAATGCTGCGTTCGTGAGCGAACGCGGAAAGTACCCAATACCGAGTCTTCCTTGCAGGCCCACTATTCTTCCCATTGTTGGCCGGCTCGTGGGTACTGAAAGTAGTTTAAAAGTGCATGCTAAATTTTAATTTAAAAAATACGGTTACCATTATGTCCATTAAGTTCATTTATATATTTTTAATTAACAATAATGGAAGTTGTAAAGTTAAAAATTAATGAAGCCAAGAAGAAGAAGAATCACTAGATTCGATTGCTTCCTGAAATATAAATTTGTTTTTCTTTCATATAGCATGAGTGCACAAAGCAACCCAAAATTCCTGATTAAGAGACACGACACTGGTAAAGTAATTCGAATAGAAATAGAAGAAGACAAACAGATTTTTGACTTACTGGAGTTGAGTAGAGAGCGACTAAATTTTGATGAAGATGCAATTTTATATATGTACAATTATAAAGAGGAAGTTATCAGTCAAGGTGTTTACGTCAAAGAGCTGGGAGATCCAAGAGCTGTTTGGATATTGAAAGACATAAGAATGGAAGAAAAAGAGAAGCGTAAAGAGAAAGCTGACGATAATCCACCGAAACGCTTGGAACAACAAGCAGGTAGCGATGATAAGTCCAAGGGACTACCCTTAGATGTAAGAAATGATGAAATTAGAATGCTTACAAGAAAAATGAACAGCGAGGGTCTTGAAGGTTTTCTGTATGAAATCATACCCGAGAGCTACACTGATCATAGTCATTCAACATGTTATGAACACTCGTTTTATTCAGAAGAAAAACGCAAGTCCATCCAAGGCAAAGTAAGTACTACTGACAACTGGGATTCCTGGCAAGCGGAGGCTAACCTCTCAATCTGGGGTGTTCATGTCGGAGCCAGTGCTGGACGCCGTACCTCAATTTTTCAACAGGAAGGAAAGAAAAAACAAAGAAAAGAGAAAACATGTGTTGCTGTCGCGACCAAAACGAGCTTTCATCGGATGAAAACATTTAGAGTGAACGTGAAACTCAGTGAGAGGGCAATGAAAGACGCTAAACATATTTTGTACTCTCTTGGACTTGAGAGAGAGCAAGCAATTAACGAATTTATTAATAAATACTGTAGTTATGTGTATTCCGGGCCTTTTTATGCAGGTGGTTGGTTCAGGATTGTGGCAACAGCAACAAGTGACAAAGCTATGGAGTTTGCGGCTCTGTATAAAGAAGCTACAGAGCAAACGAAGACTCACTGGTCAGCTGGTCTTGGTGGGTGTGGTCTAACTACTTCAGGAGGTCACAACATGGGGTCAAGCATTCAGACAAATGGCCAGCAAAGTCAACAAAATACAAAGTCTTCTGTTCAAGTTCATATTAAAAAGGAGAGTTCACCAGGCAACATTTCAAGTGAGGACGGACTGGAGACGAAAATTAAGGATGTAGCAAGTCGCACTATTTTTCCTGCCATAGGCGCGGAGAAAACGCAATTCGTACCAATCTATGAGATCTTTGAAAACCAGGCTGAAGCTAATAACGACAAAGAATTGGCAAAGTTTTCTCTAGTATTGCGGTTGTATAAGAAAGGTGAGTAATTCGTTCTGTATTTTGATCCGGAGATCAATATGTCTTGTCTTTCTTTACAGAGGTTAGTGTTGTTACTGAGCCAACGGCTCGGAACCCCGTTCCGGACGTAAGCCGGGGCGAGGATACTAATTTCGTCCGGCTATTTACACCCGGGAAAAGGAAAGCACTAGCGATATCCAAAGTTCATCAAATATTTCGTGCGCATAGATTTTTTGGTTCTCATCTCGCTGATCTCAAAATATGGCTGTTTTCCAGGAGTGAAGAAGGGAGAAATATAAAAAATACTTGAAAGAAAGCTTGTAAGATCGTTCCACATAACAAATTGTAAAACATTATTTCAATTTTTAAACGTAAACATTGATAAGAATTGATTTAGTACGAGAAATCCTAAAGTATAGGGCAAGTTTGTTCAATTATTTATGTATGACTTTTAATTATTATAGAGTGACTCTGTTCTTGTTGAAATCTTTCCTATGCATTGCATGCAAAAGTTTCTTCGTTAAATTAACGAGTGTAGAGGTTCATCAAAAAAAGGAATTAAGCAAATTAGCTAGCGTCCTGTACGAATTAAATCTATTTCATTCCAAAGTGCGAGTAATATAAAGGTGAAGAGTTTTCAATATCGGCAAAAAGCAGTTAATTTCAATTCACATTTAATTAAAAACGTTTTCGTTTTGAATTTTACATTAAAATAAAGCACATGGAAAACAACATAATGTACCTACTTCATCTATTTTAGAAAATGGTAGTTCTGTATTTAAAAGTGTTCAAGTTTCATCTATAATTTGTTCGTGCAGGTTTGTGAAAAAAAATTTAAAAAAAAACATTTATCGTGTTGCCACTTGCGGTGACTAACATGTCGTGAGCAATCCGAGCCTGCGTTCAGTTTTGACGTAATTACCGATACTTCATGTTGAAACAATGTTTGGAGAATATAGGCAAGGGGTTATTGCATGCATGTATTGCCAGTTATATGCATAAAGCATATTCTCAAATGTTCTATGTAAGCAAACGGCATGTTTTAATACAAAATATTATAAAGACGGATATTCTATTTTACCTTTTTTTTAAGAAAAACAAGAAACACATTAATTTTGTCCAAATTTCTTGCTATTTTTTGAGAAATATTCACTTTATATTTATATTTGGCGAAGAGAAAACTTTAAAAAATGAACATTATTGACATAATTAGTCAGAAGTAGCATGTTTTAAAATTTTGCGATCTGGCTATATTTTCAACACAAAGTGATTATAAATATCAGTCTTGTTACCTGAAATAGTGCAGGTAAATGCTTTGTCGCAAACGATATCAGTTGAACATATTCTCAAATAAATAATTATGTGATTAAGTACGTCAACATTTTGCCATTCACGCCAAAATAAACAAGAGCAACGAGAAATTTAATCAATATATTTGGATATTTTGGAAATTAATTAAAGATTATGTCTGTTACGTTTTTAATAGACGGTAAATAAACAGTGAAACATACAAAAAAAGCTGAGAAAATAAAGTTATAAAATTCTGACTGTCCGCCATCTTGTTCTATATCCATTCCCCTTGGCCGTGTATCACAGCGAACCCACCAGGTACCCTACTATCGTTACATCTCTTCTCCTTAAGTTTCTTAATTATAGCTTCCAAATAAAACTCAACGGAAAATGTTCGATTGTTCGACTTAGCTATACGTTATTATCATAAACAAGTTCGATAACTGTTCCATGAGATTAACTAATCCCATTCGGTTATAACCTAGAACTGGTTTCTTTAAAGGTTTAGGGTCAATTGCACTCGTAATCTTCAAAACGTTTTGGAGCACGATGGCTTCGCCCGAGCGGGGTACATTACCATCTTCCCCATATCTCTGGCCTTCCATTGTATCTACTTCAGGGGGCACGGCGATTGATTGGTCGTCAGTCAATGGCTCATCTACATCGGACAGTTCGGTTTGTAAGGTATAACAGCTCTGTGGTTGTACGTAAATGCCTTCGATTTCGACGATATTTTCTTCCATTGACCTCAACCAGGTAAGATCGCAAACCCATGACTTCAATGACAATGCCAAGAGACCACCATGAATCATCCGGACAACGCATTCGGATGACATCGCCTGTTGACAGCCTTTTCAATTTCCGCAACTGTCGACCAAAATATTTCTTTGACTTTCTCCATCTTCTTCGTCACTCTTTCGATTAGAGTCGGTTTCTACTGTTTCTTGGAAGACGTGTTCGAGTACGTCTATCATACAGTAACTGGGCGGGAAAAGCACCCATGGCTTCAGTTGGTGTGTTGCGCCAATCGAGTATGCTGAGGAGTGGATCCAGTTTGTCGCGCGAGGTTTCTTTAACAACGATTTGCAGGTCTTTACAGCATTCTCCACTTTTCCATTACTTTGTGGGTGGTGAAGACTAGAGGTAATATGGTTAAAATCCCATTCGTCACTGAAGTCTTTAAAACTTTCGCTGTTGAATGGTGGGCCATTATCGTGCAATCCTGCATAATTTAAATCTCACTTGTGTTATTAAGAATACATGTATATAAAGCAAAAAGTTAAAAGTTATTTAAATCAAAACGAAAGCTGTTTACAAAGCAAACGAAAGCAAAATTTATAAATGTGGTGAACACTACTAAACAGTGCTCATTGACAGACATGTAGGCTATATAATATAGTAACATATTGTCGTTTGAATTATTTTTGGTGTATGATTTCAAAAACGTAGATTTTCAACAAACTGTATATATTTTGACAATATACCATGATCGTTAGTTTCAGCAATGCCAAGAGCAAACTTTGTAGTTTTTTGAGGGGCTTTAAGTTTTTCTAATGAGGCTTTTATATAAATCAATAATATAAATATAAATCAATAATATAAATCTCAATTTTAATAAATAAAATAATGAGGCCTTTATATAAATCAATAATATATAATCTCTTGAATTTTGAGTCGTATGTTGCCACTGAAAATTTTATTAATACTATGAGTTCGTATTGTTATAGTCCTCAAAGTATTCAATCAACCAGAACAACTCATCATTCAGCTACACTCATAGAGAATATATTTTTCAATTCTCTTGATTACTATTTGATGAGCGGAAACCTGCTTTATTACATTTCAGATCATTTACCCAACTTTCGCATTATCAACAAATATTCAACTAATCTTGTTTCTAAAACTTTCACCTTTGTTGTTCATAACTTATTACTTATTTTTATTTCTCAAGGATTTATACAAAAGGTTAATTTAATTTGCAACGTTTCGGACAATTTGAATGTCCGTCTTCAGGCGACAATTGTTGTTAATGTTATATTAAAAAAATGCTGACGATTTAACTTAACTGTCAGTCACGTCATTTTGCGCGTGCGTCAATATGCACTTGCGCGCGCGTGTTCTTGTTTACACGTTCCTTCTTAAAATACTTATTGAACAATGGTCTCCACATCACCAATTGTTCGAAATTATTCAAAACCGTGTAGCCATTATATTGTTCTCTTAAAGACTTAATTCCTTCTCTCACTTTTCTTTGTTTCAATCCATTTTCAGTTGTTATCACTCGTGCCTTTTCCCAATCAATCCCACTCTCGCAATCAACGCTATCTCTCGCCAAACCGTCATCTTCCTTATCCATTCTTTCTTTCTTCTGCCGGCACTAGTTTTCCATTCTTTATGTCCTCTCCCGTCAACCGAACTTTACTCATATGCTCTTTCTTTCTAGTTCCAAATAAGCGCCAAGTCTCTCCCACATAAACCGCCTCATCACATTTGCAAGGAACTTCATATACAACTGTCTTCCGTTTCTCTCCCAATGGTTTCTGTGCCTTTGTTTTCATTTGTCTCACTTTATTCCCAGATCTAAATGTGGTATTGATTGCGAGAATGGAATTGATTGGGAAAAGGCACGAGTGATAACAACTGAAAATGGATTGAAACAAAGGAAAGTGAGAGAAGGAATTGAGTCTTTAAGAGAACAATATAATGGCTACACGGTTTTGAATAATTTCGAACAATTGGTGATGTGGAAACCATTGTTAAATAAGTATTTTAAGAAGGAACGTGTAAACAAGAACACGCGCGCGCAAGTGCATATTGACGCACGCGCAAAATGACGTGACTGACAGTTAAGTTAAATCGTCAGCATTTTTGAATATAACATTAACAACAATTGTCGCCTGAAGACGGACATTTAAAATGTCCGAAACGTTGCAAATTAATTTAAATTAACCTTTTGCATAAATCCGTGAGAAATAAAAATAAGTAATAAGATATTCAACTCTTCCAAAAAACTTTGAAATGTATAAAAGATGTTACTCAAAGATGAACGAAGCTGACTTCGTTTCAGAAGTTAACTTGCTGAACTGGAATGGTATTTTACCACATAACAATAATGTAAATGATGTGTTTGACTCCTTTATTAACAAAATAACAGATATTGTTGACAATTTTGCCCCAATTAAGGAACTAGGTAAAAGAAAGGTAAAAACTTTAGCAAAACCATGGGTAACAGCAGGAATTCGAGCCTCTATTCAAGTAAAAAACAGGTTATACAGAAAATATGTGAGGTCTAGAAATACTCATACATTTGCAATATACAAGCTTTATCGTAATAAGATTAATAAGGTTAAGTAAGAAAATGTATTATAATGAGTATTTAATAACACATACAAGCAATATGAAAAATACATGGAAGGGGATCAAGGAAATAATCATGGCAAAAATATACACCGTTCAAATATGCAAAATAGAATAATTAAATATGGTATTAAAATTAATGACACGAAAGGGATAGCCAACGCCTTTAATGATTATTTTGCTAGCGTTGTAGGCAAATTAGCTGATGCCATTCCTCTAATTAGCGAATCACCAAAAAGTTTCTTAATTAAAAGCATCTCCGCAATTTTTTTTCTTTTTATGTCCTGTAACAACTACCGAAATCTAAAATAAGATCAAGAAGCTCAATCCGTCCAAAACATGTGGTCCTCATAGTATTCCCATTAATCTATTGCAACTACAGTAGTAAGAGATTACCTGTCCAAGCCTTTAGAAATACTTTTTAATTACTCTTTTGAAACTGGAGTGTTACCGGACAAGTTTTTAAATTGCTCGAGTGATTCCAATTTTTAAAAATGGAAAGAAATCTTGCACTAGCAATTACTGACCAATTTCAGTTCTTTCTGTTTTTAATAAGATCTTGGAAAAACTTATGTACAAAAGGTTGATCTCTTTTGTTAATACTCATGATATATTAAATGGCAACCAATTTGGATTTCGATCTGGCCACTCTACCACTCAAGCTACTCTGTTAATTACTGTAAAAATCCAGAAAGCAATTGAGAAACAAGAATATTCTTGCGGAATATTTCTTGATTTAAGCATGGCTTTTGATACCGTTAATCATCATATATTGTAATTGAAAAACTTCAACATTACGGCATTAAAGGGGTAGCTAAGGATTGGTTTATCTCTTATCTTAACGGCAGGAAACAATTTGTTTCTATTGGAAGCTCTGTTTCTTCCACGTGTAATATTCCTTGTAGTGTACCTCAAGGTTCAGTTCTTGGTCCATTATATTTTTGTTATATATAAATGATTTTTGTAATTTCACTGAAGCTTTTGAATTTCATTTATTTGCAGACGACACTAACGTGTTCTCATAAAGAACTGAACCAATTAGAAGCTGAGATAAATAATAACCTGGGATTTGTTAATACCTGGTTATGTGCCAATAAATTATCATTAAATACTCAAAAAACTAATTTCGTTATTTTTCATCCGCCTCAAAAAAGAAGCGTTGACACTAGAAGCCTTAAAATTAATGATAATGTAATAAGGCAGGATGTGCTGTTTAAAATACGTATAGAAATGTAAATACGAAAACTCTTGTTAATTTATATTATGCCTTGATTTATCAAAATGTAATTTACGGTCTGATATTGTGGGGTAATATATACTGCGGATTCATGTAGACCGTTTAATGCGAATAGTTGTCGCGTTAGTTTTAACAGTTGTACGATGATGTTTCTAGGCAGATTTTCGACGTTTCTAAGGCATGGCTTCAACGTTTATTTTTAAAATTTGGACGTCGTAATTACAAGGTAATTGCCAGATAGTATACTTCAAAATAAGATTTCCGTTTTTATATCAATTTTTTAAATAAGTTAGGGTTAGGTTAGGGTTTAGTTTTGCGTTAGGATGATTTTTTCTACGTTATAAAAATGGAAACTTCATTTTGAAGTATACTATTTAGCAATTATTAGTAATTACAACGTATACTATTTAGTAATTACAACGTTCAAATTTTAAAAATAAACGTTGAAACGTCGAAAAGAAACGTAGAAACGTCGAAAATCTGCCTAGAAACGTCATCGTACAACTGTTAAAACTAACGCGACAACTATTCGCATTAAACGGTCTACCTGAATCCGCAGTATGAATCAAATCTAAATCCTATTATTGTTTTACAAAAGAGAATTGTGAGCACTATAACTTTTGCTAATATTCACGAATACTCAAGTCCATTATTCAAAGCTCTTGGTATTTTAAAATTTAAGATTTAATTTTTCTTCAAAATTTGTTGTTTATGCACGATTTTAATAACATACTCTTCCTCGTACTTTTGATAACTTTTTACGCCAACCAATCAGGTACATCAATATAATACACGACAAACATCCAAAAGCACATTTTATATGCCTTCTGTACGAACCAATCATGGAAAATTTAGCATTAGATATGCGGGATCTAAAAGTTGGAATACTATGAACGAAAATGTTAAAGCAATGAGCAAAAAATGTTTCAAGAAACATAATACTTCAACATTCTTAAACTCGTACTGACTTTAGAACATGACTTATGTTTATTTTTGTTTGTTTGCTTTCTTTCTTGTTTGTTTTTTTTGTGTCGGTGTTTTCTGTGCTAGCCATACTGTATCTAAAATTTTAGTAAAATCATCTGCTCATTCTTCTATAATATATTAATGCAATAATAAGCTCGGCTATTTGGCTAGATTGGCTTTGCTATTCCAAATAGCCCGTGCTTCGATTATTTGTTTAATTATATAACTATATACTTCTAAATTATGTACTATTGTTGGCGCAAATAAATCTTTGAATCTTGTTATTTCGGAAATCAAAAGATCTCGCTGTTTCGTTGCAAGTCCACATCTCATGAACAAATAAATTCTTTTCGTCCGAGTATCAGGATAAACTTTAATACTAAATAAATAACAACCACATTTGCCGGTCTAAAGATATTTAGTATAAACCTACTAGTAGGCTATCATATTTCGTGCGTTCTGATTGGCTACGCTACTAGTAGGCTATTAGTGATACCCTACTAATAGCAACAAGCAGCGAAGGGCGCGAGAATCAATGGCCGTTTTTGAGTATAAAAACCCTGCATTTAAAGGGAACGACGTTCTCAAAATTGCCTAATTTTGGTTCTAGATTACACAGAAACAAAGACTCTTCGAAACTGCTGACACATCCGGTAAAATTTTCGCAACTTTGCTAGAATACGTAGACGTAGTTTTCAACATGAAAGTGACAGGCTATTTTTCAGTTCAGATATATGCACACTGTTTGTTAATATTCCAAGCAGAATTGTTGAAATTGGTTTTCCACACAATTTCTCGTTCTCCAAATTTCCACTCGTGTTGATATAACTGTATATCAACACGGAAAATGTTTTATAATTTGTTAATTATAAAACATATTTCTATTTGATATTGAGTTACATAAACATGCGCTCGTGAAAGTTGGGAAAAGTGGAAATTATGTGAAAACACACATCATGTTTCCGAAAAATTCTCATTTTCCCAACTTCTACTCGTGTTTGTATTGATTACGAATTACTGAGCGAAAGTGAGGGCAGCACGGGAAAATATCCAACTGAGGTCTTGCTGTATTGACCGAGCGATAACGAAGTCAATACAGCAAGACCTGGGTTGAATATTTTCCCGTACTGCCTGAACGGTTGATGTCAGTAAACTTTTCATAAAATGGCATTGTACGTCTGTGAAAAATGGGTGGAAGAGTCACGTGCGAAGGCAAAGTACAAAGTCCAAAACATTTGTAAGAAAAACAACTGTAAAAATTTATATGTTCTTTTGGTTAGTAAAACTACTCTACTGCGGCACTTTTTATATAGAATACCAGAAATACATGCATGCAACAACCCCTCGCCTATATTCGCCAAACATCACTTCAACATGAAGTATTCGTATTTACGCCAACACTGAACGCAGATTCACGTTGCTCACGTCATGTTTTTCATGGCAACACGATAATTAATAATAATTTTAATTTTTTGACCAAACCTGCAAACAATAGATGAAACTTGACCACTTTTAAATACAGAACTATCAATTTCTAAAATATATACAGCAGGTATATTATTTTGCTTTCCATGGGCTTTATCCCCGAGCCGACGGCGCGAAGCGCCGTGCGAGGGTACTAATTCCCCCGGCTTTTTACACCCGGGGAAACGAAAGCGTTAGCGAAGTCTAAAGTTCATGAATGACCGCGGGCGTGGGTTACCGTGAGTGGTTCGGTGGATGGTCATCTCACTGATCTCAAAATATTGCTGTTTGCCAGGAGTGAACAGGCAACCGATATAAAAAAAACATGTCGGAAGGCTTTACAGTAAACGTAAACATTTACAGGTATAACAATTGATTTAGTATGAGAAATCCTAAAGTGCATGTAGGGCAAGTTTTGTTTATGTATGACTTTGTATTAATGTTGACTTTGTTCTTGATGTTCAAGCCATTCCTATGCATTCTACGTTTGCGAACGTTTCTTAGTAAAATTAACCTTTGTATACGTAGAAGTTCATTAAAAAAAGAAAGCAAATTATTTTCATCAGCGTCCTGTACGAATTAAATTTATTTCATTTCAAAGTGCGAGTAATACAGGTAAGTATAGAAGCTTGAGTTGAACTGTTTATATAAATATCGGCAAAAAGCAGTTGATTTCAATTCACATTTAAAAACGTTTTATGTAGAGTTTCGTTTTGAATTTTACATTAAAATAAAGCCCATAGATACCAAAATAATATACCTTCTTTATATATTTTAGAAATTGATAGTTCTGTTTTTAAAAGTGTTCAAGTTTCATCATAGGCAGCCCAATGTTATGGTTGCCTGCCTGCCTGCGCGCGGGCGAGGCATTATATTGTATTATTTCCTAAGGTAGGCAAATGCAATCAAACTAACGATGCATATACCTTCAAACAATCCAAACTACTTCAAATATCTTTACAACTACGTTAAAATAATCACGGAAATAAAATCTACGATACTTTTACTATATACTAACAATATTTTAACGTACAAAACAAATTTGTAATGCGAGAAAAATACGAAAAGTTTTTTCATTTTTTCCCAATTCTTGAATGAGACGATGCTGGATTCGCGCTCGACGTTTTTGATGGCGTAATTTGTAATGCGAGAAAAATACGAAAAGTTTTTTCATTTT